TATATATATATATATATATATATATATATATATATCAAACTTAAGACTCGAATTATGCATATCTCCAGAGATGCCCCACTTTGCTTCTTGACGAGAAGCGTGACTACGAGGGTCATATGGTGGTGAGCAAGAAAAGTGCATTCATTAAATAAAAAAGATTTGATGAAATGAAAGAATCAATCAATACTTAGATATATAAAGTTGTACTAGATAAAAGTTATCCAAATATCACCGTTTTATCTTTCAGCTACTGTTCAAATATATATACATCACTGTTCTATCTTGGGTTGAGCTTGAGAAAACAAAAACAATCTCAGGAGAATTTTCCAGATGGGAGAAATGTCTAGGCCTACTTAGGCAGAGGTAATAATGTAGATACGTAACTTCATTTGGATGTGCTGACTAGATGGTTCCATGGATGAGTGAATACTTTACAATTTTGTTGCAGTTAGCTGGGATAAAGAAGATAGTTTCAGAAGCGTCGGGGAGAGATGTCCAGGATATCCGAGTTGTAATATCTCCTTATCGGATTTGTCCATTGGGAGCTCATATTGATCATCAAGTAGGTTTCTTTGTTTGTAATTTATATACCTCTGTTGTATTCAATTAAATTCACCTTCTTATCTCACATATTTGATGCTTGTAGGGTGGTACTGTCTCTGCTATGACCATTAACAAGGGAATACTGTTGGGTTTTGTCCCTTCTGGTGACACTCAGGTCAACTTATGAATTATGATTGTCTTTGGACGTTAAAGGCTGAAGCTTTCATTTCCTTGCTACTATTCTCCTTAAGGACTGAACAGCTTATCTGATTTCCTTTCTGAAAGTGCCCAGTATTTAGTTGAAATGGTAGTAATAGTATAGATCAGCTATGGGTTAAAAAACCTGGTTTTGACTCTTAATAACAAGAGCAGATTCCTGAAGTGAATCATGATGATTGTTACCTCTCATTGTGCTCAGAAAGAAGTTGCATGAAATAGATATGTTGTATGGTCTGAGATGTGATCTGATTAGTTTCTTACTTTAGTTATACCTTGCCGTTTGGGCTTAAAATCTATTTTTCTATAAAATAAAATATTTTTCACTTCTGGATGAGACTCTACTCTCTCCTTGTTCTTCTGATCATATCAGCGAGATGCTTTTGTAGCAAAACCTACCAAAAGTTTAGTGGAGACATTTTTGTGTTAAATTGCAAAAAGAGAAGCTAGGAACAATGTTTACTGAAATGGTTTAAGCCTATGAATGGTCAAACTAAAAGTTGGGATTCGAGCATTGAGCTTAGCAAATTTAGGAGCATATGTCTCATCTCATTGCTCTGATACCCTCCTTCAATTGAACCACAACTGAGTATTGACTGATATGAAAGTTGAGAGCTTGACCTTTAATTACTGAATATTCACAGAAATTCTCTCTCACTTGCTTATATACATGTGCCTGCATGCATGCAACACCTCAAGGAATTTCTTCAGTGTAGATATTTACAGGATATACACTGTTATTTCCTTTTCAATTCTGCTATTTCCATCTGTTATCTTTGATCTTACATTGAACAATTTGGTGTAGGTTGTACTGCATTCAGGACAGTTTAAAGGAGAAGTTAGGTTCAGGTATGGGAATTAGGCTTACAATCAATAATCCTCATGGCTTCAATATTTGGTGCAAACAATCATGGATCATGTATGTATGTTGCATGTATTTTCTACCTTTGATCCTAGATTACTCCCTTTTTGGTGCTTGACTTTTACTTCTGCTTCAGGAAAAATTTTATTACTGACATTGTGATCTGGATTATAAGACAGAATATTGTGTGCCTCATGACTCCAATTATTTAGTGTTGTTGGTTTATAGAGTTAATGAAACCCTGTACCCAATCAGACCATTAAGGAGAACAGAGAAATTGATAAGAATGATTCTACTCAATCCGCAGAAGAATCTAACTGGGGGCGTTTTGCAAGAGGAGCATTGAATGCTCTACAGAGTAGAGGGAACCATCTTGTTGAGGTCATAAATAATTTACCCTTTTTTCCGTTTTTGTTTTGAGAAGTATTTTATAATTATTCTGGAAAGACAACAAAGCTACTGGTCTTTTTTCTTCTTTTGTAGATAAAGTCACCAATCTATAATCAGCCTGTTTTACAACATAAGATTCGGCAAAAATGAGATGAATAGATTTAAATTGCATTTTGATATTTGCAAAAAGTGGCTATCAATTTACTTTAGTATAGCTTACAATTATTATTATCCCTCATAACTTTCTGTAGGATACGGGTTCTTGTTTCCAAAATATAGTTTATCTTTGACAGGTTGGAGTTGCCTACCTGCTGGCCTTGGAAAGTGCAAACAATTTAACTTTTGTCACCTACAGAAAATATTGAATATGACCGGTATGTTTGTTCTCCATTTAGGATGCTGAAGCATGTATGCTTGACATTGAAAATTTAAGATACCATGCTTCAACAGATAATTATATCTCATTTAAGATACCTAGTGCTATTCATATCGTACAGATTATTTAGAACAGAAACATTGGCTTGACGTTTGAAATTTTACGGCTGGATTTATCAAAGTTATATATTCAGAATAATTATATTTTTGTGGGTTAATTAAATGTCATCAGCTTACTTTTCAACTTACTATTTGTGACAGAGCGGTACATTTTCTGCCATACCTTCTGAGTGAAAGATGGCAAAAACATCCATAGAAAGATTGTAAAAGATCTAAAAAAATTGCATCAGATGGCTTCCACATTATGTAGGAAAGTCAAAAGGGCCCATGATTATCCAATCTGAATAGTTCTGTTAAAGGCCTATTTGGTCATATAGCAACAAGTCTTTTGTAATTGATTCTGTGACACATGTAGGGTGACTGAAAATGAATATTTAGGTCTGAGAAACGGGATACTGGATCAATCTGCCATATTGCTTTCAAGTTACGGTTGTCTGACCTGCATGAATTGCAAGGTGAAATGCTAAATGAAAATATGAAGCAAATTTAAGTTAGATCTTTTCTTCCCATGTGATACTGTTCTCAATTTGTCTTCTATGAGAAAGAGTGGAGCCTTTGCGGGCTTGTTATAACATTCTCTTGCAACAATCTTTCACCAGATTCAGTAGGTAGTCTGTCCTACATCACACATGCTTTGATAATACTGATTTAGTTATTCAATCCTTTTTACTTTAAAATTGTAGATCCAATTTTGAATATTTAGATTTTTTCCTTCTTCTTCCTTTATTACTTGATGTGTAGACTAAAGAACACAAGCTCATACACCCACCAAACTGGCAAAAGGACCAGAAGACTGAGAAGAAGAAAGCCTTCAAAATATATTAGCATTTTCAGGCCTGAAGCAAGCTTTGACTAACAATCCTGGATATAATCGCCAAGTTGCTGAGTGCCAAGAAGCTGCTAGATTTCTTCTGCAGTATGTTCCGTTTTCTTTCTGGTTAAGAACCTTGAGAAGCATTCCTACACCTTTTTCTATCTTTTGGTTGTGTGCTTCGCTTATAACTCCTTTCAAAATGTTTATACTAACAATAGTTTCAGTTACTTTTGAATTAAATGTGTTTATAGTGAGATAGGAAGATTTGAAAGAAATCTGACTATTAATTAGACATAGTTAAAACCCTTGAGTTGTTTCTATGATATTCTTTCCAGAGACTTGCTTATCATTAGGCAGGACAGAAACAGTGTTCTATGCACATTGTCTTTGCTTTACCATTCAAAACCCATTGTTTGAGAAGTTTTGTTCTGCAACCAATTAATCAAGATAAATGAATCCAGTGAAACCAAGTTGTGTTGTCTTCTTGGTGAGTACTTAGATTTTCTTTTTCTTCTTTTGCTGCAAATACTTGCCAGTTATATGAAAACCACGACATATTGACCTGAAGACTCCCTTGTTTATGGTGTTTCCTTAAATATATTTTTTCCCAGTTTTATTTCCTTAAATTTGCTTTGACATGTTGCAATTTCTGTGACTGCTCCTCCATTCATTATAAATAACTGACAGCCAAATTTCAGCAATCATTTCATATTTGCCATGTTTAGAGTTTGCAACTGGTTTATGTAACTGTTGCCCTCCTTTTATACATAATTGTTTATCCTCTGTTCTGCAGCAATTTGGGAAGTGACGAACTGGAGCCTCTCCTGTGCAATGGCAAGTATTTTGTGCAAGTCTGAGCTTTATTTTTTCTTTTCCTTCACTTATATATGATCTTAATTTCCCACTTCTTTCTTCTTCCTCCTCATTTTAAACGGTTGGACCAGAGGCTTATCAAGCATACAAGGTAAATTACTTCATATGTTGAACTTTTTGATATTTGAAAAACTAGAACTTGTGTCCCATTTTCCTAAACCAATGTATAAACATTTATATAAAAATCCCATATCTCATTCATATGTGTTACAGTGCAGTCAGTTATCTACCAGCATTACCCTAAGTTTCCATGCATTCATTCCCATACTCTTTTATCACCTCTCATTTCCTGTTCTCTCCTATAAGTGTTCACTATACGAATTGCCCTTAGAAGTGGAACAAACTCAAAAATGAACAGACTTTGAAATAAAAGTATTGTCCTTAGATTAAATAATATGAAACTCAATCTCTATTAATGAACCTCTTGAACAACTTTCTGTTTATATCTTTGTTTCTAGTACTCTTGTCTTGTTTGTATGTGGTTCAATTTAGAACCCAATCTAGCTAAAAGAGTAGAGCATTTTTTTTCAGAGAATATGCATGTTATCAAGGGTATTTTTTCTGTCATCACTTTCATAAATATGTATGTAGCTAACATAATTTTATCTCATTTTATTATTTTACACTTCAACAAATTAAAGCTTATTGATACAATGATTTTTTCAGGATTAGAAGCTTGGGCTAGCTGCAGGAGAACTAGAAGAATTTGGAAAACTTATATCAGCTTCTGATTTAAGTTCCATAGAAAACTAGAGTGCGGTATGACCTTCTCCTTGGTTGTGCCTCTTTCTCCCCTTTCCTCTCTTCTACACTTCCCATTTCTCCTTGTTGTAAGTAAATAGGAATAAAGAACCATAAAATGACTAATAGAGGAATGCTAGCTGCACTCGCCTTTCTCCAGCACTCTCCGACACTCCCTCATCTAAAATAGCCACGTGAACTTTTCAAGTTGGAAACTTTGAATTGCGAGCCAAATTTTGTTACGTGGACATTTTACATGAGAGAGTGTTGGAGAGTGCTGGAGAAAGGAGAGTGCAGCTAGCATTCCTCATGACTAATATGCATCGAAGAAGGAATTGTAAGCATTTTTAATTCTTGTCCAAGGTTCTGGGCCGCTGATTCAACTGTATGAGATACTACCGCTGTGGCAGAGCCACATGTAGACCAGGAAGGGCCACGGCCCCCCCCTGGTCTTTTGAAAAATTTTTAATTAGCCCCCTATACTTTTAAAAAATATAAATAGAACCTTAAGATTTTAAATATAAAATAAGAATTTATTAATTATTTGAGAAATTATTAGATTATATCTCTTGGTTTTGTTTTAATTTCAGTTAAATTTGGCTTTAATGGTTAACATAGTATCTCTACAAAAAAAATTTAAAATTACTTTGTATTATTGTGTTTCACATTTTATTTTTCTTTGATAATATTTAAGGAAAAGATAAAATTTTCTTTATTTTGTATATTTAGTTGGTTATAGGTGAATAGTAAGTTTTGTTTTTTAGTGTAGAAGACCACTACTTATAAATAAGGTAAAATTTTAATTTCTATAATATCTCTGATTGTTATCATAATTTTAATTGGTTATTAAAGAATTGTATCATGTGGGTTATTTTATCCCCTAACTAAGGATTACACCTTGTAAATGACTAGAATTAATTTGGGTAGAAACGCAATAATTAATTTCATTGAAAATTATCTAATAGCATGGGATCATAAACTCTAATCATATCTTCATAATACAAATGATTAAAATTTGGTATGTTAATTATTTAAAATATGTTCACTAATAAAAATTTGACTGAATTGGTATCTAGTACCCACTAAGTTATCAATCTTGATTTACAATAGTATAAACATTTGTAATGTGCAATTAATCCTTAATGAGCAAAAAAAAAAAATCTTTAAAACATTTTAGTTTTATTGGTTAGTTTATATTAATATTTTGTAATAATGATTTTGTTTGAAACTAAAATCTACGAGTAATCATATAAATTTTAGGTAATTTTTATAAACTTACAGCATGTGATTTTAGTTGTTATAATAAAAGTCTTAGTCTCCTTTTGTATGTTATAACTCTAGTAAAATCCACCTTCTTCAATGTTTTTAAGTTAAAGATGCAATTTGATATTTTAATTTTCTTCTTTTATAATTTTGCAATTGGCCCCCCCAAAGATAAATTCCTAGCTCCGCCACTGTACTACCGAGAGCACCTGCTGTACTTGAAGCACAGTTTAGTGGTGATAGATTCAGAAGATGCTGTGTTGCATTTGTGGACGCTGATCGAGCTACAGAAGCTGCAAGATTTGTGAAGGAAGAATACCCAAAGCTCCTGCCTAAGTTGGCTAGCCAATTGAACAGAGATACCGCTGTGTTGATACCTGAAGCAGATGACCGTGCTCGTGTAATCTGATCAACGACATCCCTCCCTGTCCTTAAACACTGCTGTGCCATTACATTCATTCATTAATTTCATTTGTTGAACCATGTGCAATTCTGCATTGTTTGCCTACCATGAGTTGATTGTAATATCCAATATAAATTACACTTTGTACACTGATAAAAAAAAAATGCAGTTTGTATAGAATTTTTTTTTAACATATTGAAATTATTTACATATTAATTGAGAGAAGGGACAACCCTAACTCAAAGTCTATACCACGAGACCAGAGTGGGTCATTCACAATTTGTATAGATTTTAAATAAAAAACAATACAAACTTTATTCTTTGTGAGACTAGATTTCCTTATCCGAGATGCAACAGTCATTATAACATGAGAAGGAAATCCTGTTGGGGTTCACATGGTGAGTGTATTAAGAGTATTAAAATCCTACATCGTAAGTATGTAGTGAGAGTAAGAAAAATGTATGTGTGGACCAATAAACTTAATGAAAAAAAAAGTTCTGTAATTTTTTTTATAGGAAATATAGTTGTATTAATAATTGAAAAACAATTACAATGCAGATTATATCTTGTCATATAGGCTAAGCAGGAAAAAAAAAAAACTAGGATGAACTATGACACTAACATATAGAGTTAAATGTTTTATACAAATAGAGACAATTAAAAACTGAGAACCTCTAAATTTTAATATATGTCATAAAGGTATCAATAGAGCTATGTAATAACATAAAAAGAAATGCACTAGAGCTTATTGGTGCTGCTAGCAATCACAACTATTGTACCACCCAAACCTAGCATAGGAGATAAGTGGACTTGGCAATGTAGTGTCTCCCTGCACTACAATGCTCTGTACATCCACAATTGTTAATTAACCATTAGAAAACTGAAACGGGGAGAATTTGTCCCCCATCTCAGATATTGTGAAAACCTTCCTAGGGTTCCATAAGGGCTTACCCACTAAACTCAGTTGTTCTTCCTGGGAGGCCTCAGATTTCTAGATCAACAGCAATGGAAGGACACCGTCTTCAACCTTTGTCAAAAGGGTGCAATTAAGCATGTACCTAATTTCAAAATTTGTCATTCCTATCAACACTAGCAACCAACAGCAAAAAGGAGAAGTAATCGTCAATCCCGTAATTTGAATTGTATTGAACTGTACAATTTAAACAATTGAATAGAATGAGTCTCAAATATTGAAGGTTGTTCTCTCATAAGACAGTTCATGTTTTATCATTTAAATTACTAAACAAAATTCTTTAAACTTAATTGATAACTAATTAGACTATTTTTAAAGTTTTTTTTACTATAAACTCCTAGTAAATTTAATTAATTTAAAATTAGATCACATCAAATTCTTTAAAGAAGAAAGGTTTCTCAGTATTTACTTTTTTATTTATAATATTCAAATTCAAAATTTTATTTTCAAAAATAAAAAACTGAATATCTTTTATTTAAATCAACGTATCATTTTTTTTTTAAGTTTATAACTACTTTAATTTTGCCCCTAGCACAGTGTACGAAAAGGAATAAGAAAAAGGCATTGATTGATGCACACCCGAATCCAACACTCGAGGTGTGCACTCCTACATAAAAAAAGAAAAAATTTGGACCGGGTGGTTATGAGCTTTTTTTTTTTTTTTTTTTTTCAATGGGAAGTGTGCACAGCCGGGTGTTGACCCGGATGTGCACAAATCATTTTCCATAAGAAAAACTTGAGCCCCCATTATTGGACTTCTGTCAAAATTTTGCGTGTCGATGTACAATATTTAAAGACAAGTTTTCTTATGGAATTTTAGCTATATATTCCATCAGAATTCTACAAGACGTACTGGTGAAATGAGAAAGCGGCACTCTAAACAAAGTAAACAGAAAAAAACGAGAATGTTGCGTTCTCCCTTTGGAACTGCCATTCTCCCTCTGGAACTGCCATTCTCCCTCTGGAACTGCCATTCTCCCTCTGGAACTACCATTCTCTCTTTGGTTAAATTGTTTTGACATTTGATTTTTGGTTTGATCAGATACTACAAGAAAATCCACATTTAATGATTAAATTATTTATCATTAAATTTTTATTTTTCATTACAAATTATTATTAGTGATAAAATTTAAACCGTTAGTAAAACTCTTATCACTAATCCTCTTAGTGACAAATTAAACATCTACCACAGAAAATAATCTTATAGTGATAGAAAAAATTGACATTGTTAACAAGTTACTTATAATAATTTTATTCGTCACAAAAAAATATTTTTTGTTACAATAATTTTCATCACAAATGTTACAATTGAGTGACAAAAAAAATAGTCACAAATGAAATTATGATGAAAATTTTAGTCATTAATTATTAAAATTGATATTAAATAAAAAAATATATTTATATAATTACAACACAAATATTATAACAAAAATTTTTACAAAAAAATAATATATAAACTTATCACAAAAGTTTAATAAAAAAATATTATTATTTCAATACTAATCAATTTTGATTAAAATTAATTAAACCCGACTAAAATTAATTAAACCCAAACTAATCTCAAGTTTTATTGACCTTCACATGTTTTATATAATGCAAAAATTTATTTTCTTAAATATTTCTTATTGATGTTGGATATATTTATAGTACAAAACATTATTCTCTTATGTGTTTTTTTATCGATATGAGATGCATTAATTAAAGAAAACTAACAACTTTTAATGACAAAATATATTTTTAGTAATGAATTATTTGGTCATCATTGAATATGTAAGATATATGTGACCAATATTAGAATTCTGTCATAATTGTAATGCATTATAGTGACGATTTTTATCAACAAAAGTTTATTTTATCTCTATGAACATTTTTCGGTGACGAAATATATTTTTTATGATGAATTTTTTTCTTCATCATTAAATATGTATGCATCTGTGACTAATTTTTTTAGATCTGTCACAATTGTGATAAGTTATAGTGATGATTTCAAAATTCATCACAAATTTATGTCACTAAAAACCATTTTTCTTGTAGTGAGATTAATTAGTTAAATTGATTAAATTGTTGATTCAATTAGTTACGAAAAAAAAAATATAATATTATGTAACATTTAATAATAAGTTTGGAGTGGTCGTAACAGTTGGTTGTGTTAAGAGGTGTTTGTTTTAACTTTATGTATACAGTTATTTTTTTTATAAGAAGTATAATTGTATTAATAATTGAAAAACAATTACAATACAAATTATACCTTGCCATATAGGCTGAACATAAAAAAGGAAAAAGCTAAGAAGGACCTCTGACACTAACATATAGAGCTACGTGTTTCATACAAATAAAGACCATTAGGAACTGAAAACCTCTAAATATTAGTATATGTCATAAGGGTATCAATAGAGTTATGTAGTAACATAGAAAGAGTGCACTAGAACTTATTGACACTACTAGCAATCACATCTATTTTACCACCCAAACCTAGCATGGGAGATCAACAGACTTGGCGATGTAATGTCTCCCAACACTATAATACTCTATCTATCCACCATTGATTATTAACCTGTAGATAGAAGGAAAGGATCCGTCCATGTGGCCAAGGAAGTGCCCGTAATCCCCACCAATCGTAGCTTTTCCACCTTGAAAGCATTTAGTTTCCAAGCCAAGACCAAGGGGAGAGTGTCGTCTTCATCCTCTTCAAGACGAACACGACCAAGTATGGTTCCAATTCCTTCATTTGCCATTCTCAAATCTAGATTGAATCGTCGAACCCTATCTAACGACAACCCACCTACCCAGTCCGCAACCACCCTAGCTGTCCTCAACCCATCGAAACAGTCCACCTCCACCCTAACAGTCTGTCTTGTAGATCTAAAACATCCTCCCATCAGTTACTCCCCAGATTTGAAAGAATTGAAACAAAACAAAAAGGGAAATCGAAAAGAAACAAGAGAAGGGGCAAACAAGTGGAGCGGATGCAGGTAAAAGAAAGGAAAGGGAGCTCCAAAGCCGGAGAGAAGACCCGAAGAAGAAGCCCGCTACCCTAAAACCCTAGGGATTTCAAAGCACGGGAGGTGTATTTTTTTTATTTTATGTATACAATTATTAGTTGCTAGTTTTAATTAAACAGATTAAATATTTTAAATTATAAATAACAATAATTATCGGTGGTTAGATATCTACTATTAGTTATTAACTGAATTAAAAAAAAAAAAAAAAAAAACCTAATCCAAACAACCTATTATTTGTTATTGGAAAGGTAGTAAGTTCCAACCACTAAGTATCAAAATTCATTTTATTATGTTTCTAACCTATAATATACTAATGGGTTTTTTTTTCATAGATTAATAATGTAATAAACATTTTTTTTATAATTAATTTATATAAAAATTTGTAAAGTTAACTTTAAATTAATTAATGAAACGGTTAAAATTATTCACATGTCAATAATATATTAAAATAAATTTCAAGTTTTATAATTTTTTATATAAATTAATTATAAAAAATTATATTTATTACATCTTTAATTTAGATAATATAGGTACATAATCAACCCTATATTAATTTCAATACAAAAGTTAACTACTATTTCTCTTCACGTCAGGTGAAGGAACTTTATCATGGTGCATCCTTGTTTATAATATAAAAAATAAATATAAAAAAATTTTAATTATTATTTTTTTAAATATAATTTTTATTAATTATTTTTACTTAAATAAAAAATGTTAATTATCATTTTTTATGTAAAATTATTAAATTAATTTATATAAAATTAAGAGATTAGGAGAGCTAGAAAAACCGAAACAAAAGTAATTAGCAAAAAAAAATTATTTTTATGATCCCTTAATATATTTTTTTATAAAAAATATTATATAATTTAGATTATAACAGATTACACAATATTAGTTACCAAATAAGAGTTAAGTCTTATAATATTAAAGACCTTTTTTCTCTCTAATAATTTTTGTCTTACATTTTAGTACAGTTTAAATTATAAAATATAATTTTTTTTTAAAATTAGTGTTTATCCGTCTTGTCTCCAAAAAATTAAAAAGAAAAAAAATAAAAAATAAAAAATATTTTAATTCATACTTTAAAAATAAAATATTTTAATTTTTTTAATAAATATTTAATAAAATAATATAATTTTAAAATAATATTTTTCTTAATTTTTAAAAAGCAAGACAGATAAACATAAAATTATATTTAGAGGTTTTTATAAGTGGTCTGCTTTAAAAAAAAAAAAAACAAAAAACAATAACAGAGGTCGTTGAGCATGGCGAACCTTTTATTTACACATCTTTTTGTGCCAAAGTGTCACACACGCATTGGCTGTAATAAAATTACCAATTGCTCTAGTCCAATATAACTGCAGGCGACCGTCCAAATATATGTCGTTAGTGGAATTGGAATCTTCCAATCCATTAATCATACACACACACACTCCCCCAATTTTCTACATCCGATCCAAATGCTTAGATATTTAGATTAATTCTATAATCTGGAAATTGAAACACACCAAACATCCACTTGTAGTTTGAAATACATATATTTATTACAAATGAAGTAAGAACTTATGAATAATGTGAACGGTAATATGTGAATACGATTTCAAGTTTAGTGATTGAGAATTTAGAGGTTAAGATTGTATATATAAATTTTTTGTTTTATAAATAAAAAAACAACATTTTTCCTAAGTTTTGTATTGAATTTAAGTGATTTATATTTGTACTGCATATACACTTGTATCTTGACCCCTCTTTTTTAATGAGGAAAAAGAAAAAAAATTCATTGAATAAGTGTATATAAGAAACTTCAGCCCGTTACATCAAGAAAATGTGTGAATAACAATATAAATTTTATTTTTTTATTTAAAAATATTAACTTTTTAAATTTTTAAATCAAATAGCAAACTTTTATGTTTTTTAAATAAAAATATATATTTTATATTTTTTTTATTTAAAAATTTATTGGACGGTGATGATACCATGACAATCAACAATCTTACCCAAAATAGGAAAAAGGTAATATGCTTAAATTAAAAAAAAAAAATTCATACTTTTAAATATAAAAAAGTGAAAATTTTATCACTTGATTTGAAAATCTAAAAAGTTTGTATTCGTAAATAAAAAATTGACAAAATTGTATCCTTATTTGAACCTCATCTCCATACAAATCTATCCTAATTAATTTGTCAATGAACTAAATAGTTTATTGGTAAACTTTAAAAAAAAATTAAAATTTTAGAATATGATGAATTAAGAAACGAAAAAAATTAAAAAAATAAAAACAATTTACCTCTCATTGTACAATTCAAGATTTAAAAAAAATCTATCCTAACCTTATTTTCAACATAAAAAATTGGTGACCAATACAATATTAATATTTCCATTAGCATTAAGCCTTTTATCATGTATAAATACCCATTTGCCTTCTCATTAGTTGCATTGCGAAAGCAAATGCCTTTCTAGTTTTTCGTAAAAGAAATGGTAAACCATTGTGGTTCTTCTTGTTTCAAAGCTTCTCATGGAAGCACATCAATCTGCAAACTTTTGTCCTTTTTTATTCGGGTTTTCCGTCGTAGGGTAAGTCCGTTTTGGCTCCAACTATTTTATTTTCTCTCTCTTTCCACACTTGGTTTTTGGATTCTCAAGGTTTTGAAGCCAAGAACCGACTTCAGGCCTAGAAATCTAGATTTGTTCTTCACCTCTGTTTCGTCCGCCACCATTTCCAGTATGTCCACCGTAGAAATGGAGGTTTTCTCTAATCCCCAACTCATTGTCATGACCATTTTGATGTTCATTGGTGGCGAAGTCTTTACCTCCATGGTTGGACTCTTCCTTAGGAACAGCGAACCAAACCAGCCCCAGAAAGCCGAACACAAAATTGGTTCGGAATACCCAAATCCTGAAGTTAACGTCGTCCATAAATTAGAGTTAGGGTTGACGACAATAGCCGAATCAAATCGTCTTGAATCCGAAGAATCCATTCCCGACAAGTCCCAGTTGATGTACAATTCAGTTAGGCTTCTGGGGTTTGTAGTTTTAGGATACCTGTTAACAGCCAATGTGATGGGCACGGCTCTAGTGTGGATTTATATCTCCTTTGTTTCTAGTGCCAAACATGTCCTGAAAAACAAGGGACTAAACCTCTTCACCTTTGCCATTTTCACCACAATCTCCACCTTTTCAAACTGTGGATTCGTTCCCACCAATGAAAACATGATAGTTTTCAAAAAAAACTCTCTTCTCCTCTCAATTCTAATCTCTCAAATTCTTTTAGGAAATACCCTGTTTCCGTCTTGTCTAAGATTTTCCATTTGGGTTCTGGGGAAATTCTTTAAAAGAGTGGAATCCAAGTTCATTTTGAGGAATACTGGGGAAATTGGGTATCTTCATCTACTTCCAAGCCAACATTCCAAGTATTTGGTGGGTACTGTTTTGGGGTTCATCTTGGTTCAGTTTGCGCTTTTCTGCGGCATGGAATGGTATTCAGATGCGTTGAGTGGGCTGAATTCCACAGAGAAAATAATTGGGGTGCTTTTTCAATGCGTCAATGCAAGGCATGCAGGGGAAACTATAGTGGATCTCTCAACAATTGCTTCGGCTATTCTGGTGTTATTCGTCATAATGATGTTAGTCTTGCTCTCTCTTCCTTACTTTCATTTTATTTAGTTTTATTATTCGTAAATAGAATAGCATAATATGTTTTGCAATTTAAATGATGAAATATTAATAATTAAAATAAAAAAAGTCTTCCTTCTATTAAAGACCCTTATCTAAAGGTTGAGGTTATTTTCACACTAGTTTCACTGAAACTGTTTCGGCATGGAAACTAGAAAGCATGATTCCGATCCATACTGACATAAAACAAACCATGTATGAAGCAATTTAAAAAATGCATTATTGGGTTGATGATTCTTTCCCAAAAGAAAACAAACCACCCCTGGGTTGCTCGGTATGTACCGTACTGAGTTCCCCTTTCCAAATAATTTAACTGTTTAATTAGAAGCGTGCATCATTTAATATTCATTTTTCAAGGAACATATAGAAACTAAAAATTATATGAAGTCTGCTTTCGTAGGGAACAATGAATGCCCTCTAAAAATACTAATAATAGTACTACTAAGGTTAACAACTTTTAAAATTTTATATTTGTAAACAAAAAAATATTTCAAATGACAGACTAAAATATAATTTAAATTACAAAATATAATTATTATTTATAAATTGGCTTAATTTAATAATTAGTCTATTAACTATCAATTTAATTTTATTTCAGTTTAGAAAGTTTATTTTCTTTCTAAATAAACTTTGAAAAATATTTCAAATTAATCTATTGTACAAAGTTGTTATTAAATATAGCAGAAAAGAGCAATCTTTTAAATTTTAAAAAAATGACACTATAATTTTAATAAAATATGATGACTCAAGAAATATTTCATAGAAATAGATTAGTTAAAATTTATAATAAACTTGAATAATTAGCTCAATTCAAATAGAGAAATTTAGTAAGTTTAGAATGAGAAGTTTTAAGAGTAAGTCTATTTTACAGAACAAATTATATACAATTTGTCTTATAAAATTATTTAAATATTTTTGAAAAAATAATATAAAAATAAAATTAAAGATATTTAAATAATTTTACAGGGCAAATATATAGTCTGCCATGTAAAACAATTTTCTAAAAAACACATTTAGCAAGATAAAAATAAAACCTATTTTTATGGTGAATATAAATTTAAAAACTAAAAACTAAAAAATATATATAATTAGAGTAC